ACACTCAGCCTAAAGAGAACAAGTCTAACGTATTTGTTAATGAACTGGAAACAGGTCTGGGCAGCAAAGCAGCAGATAAAAAGACCAGGTTAATAATAAGATGGTAAAATGTCTACAGTATGAATCACTGTGTTAAGTAGCTATATAGCATCAATGGTCAAAGCTGCTAACGTTGCACTGTGTAGCACAGTATGGGTCGAGTTATTAAACTGCCACTGGAGGCAGGGGCAGGATTTCCTAAAGGGAGGCGAGGGAGCAGCAACTCCCGCTGCAAAGGTAGCTGCACTCCTAGCTTTCTCTGTCACAAGTGCGGCCAGACTGCACTGCAGGAGCCTCTGGGGAGGTTTTAAAGTCCTCAAGCAGATGAAAATACCCTCTCTCTCCCTTCCCCTTCCTTCTGAGAGGCAGCCTCCTCCTCTTACCTTCCGGCACCCCACTCCCCTGCTGCATTCTTGATGGTTTTGGGGCAGGGAAGTTGCAGAGCCGGCTGGGCTTGACGGCAACGAGGTGACTGGAGAAGGAACAGTGCTAGGAAAGGGGAACCCCAGTCCAATCCATCCCTGCTGCCCTTGTCCCCATCCCCAGCTGAGCCCAGCCCCTGTGCAGCAGGCAGGGAGGGCTCTGGTGTTTCTCTACCCTGCGCTTCACACCAGCCAGCTGCGACTGCTGCATCCAGCATTTCATTGCTAATTCGAAGAGCAACCACTTGACGTGTTAGAACCTGGAAAGCAAACACTCCGAGAGCTTTGACTTTGATGACGGTTAAACACATTACATATATAAACAGGTTACACCTCCGCGATTTCCCAAATCAACTGCTATTTAGCAGCAGCATAAAGAGACAATGAATAATAAACAATCCATCTGCAGGAAATCAGAGGACACTTTTCAGGAGGCAAAAATCAGTGTTGCACAGTAATGTTTTCAAGCCAGGGAGCAGCTTCCGAGATGGATTCATCGAGCCTTTGCGCAGTCTCATTGACTTTACGATGACTTTGACTCCTTCCCTTGGGAGGTGCTGAAGTAGAGCGGGTACAGTCACCTGTGCAAGCAGGTTGCGTCTGGTGCAGAATCAAGGATGCCGAGACAAGAGCTAGTTCTCCGAGCAAAACGGAGAGCGGAGCTCCTTGCACACAAGGCAGAGGGAAACTGGATGCTGGGTTAGAAGATCCACTGATATGTGGATCCTCAGGTGTCTTCTGCCATGAAGGATGGTCAACAAGGCCATAGGGTTGGAGTATCCATAGGGTTGGAGTATGGTCAACAAGGCCATAGGGTTGGAGTATCCATAGGGTTGGAGTATGGTCAACAAGGCCATAGGGTTGGAGCATCTCTGTAGCTCAAGGAGAGGACCATAATGCTTCCTGAGCATCCCATGTTCCTTTGATGCTCGAACTGGGAACTCAATCCATGCAGGATTAAATAAATAAGCAACATTTTAATCAAACAGCCTCTTTAAAAGCTTCCTTCCAGCCCCTGGGATGGAGGAAAGAAGATAGAGCCTATACATCTGTACTTTGGTGGCAAGAACCAGGACCTAGGACTAGCCAGAAATTTCCCATCAAAATGGTTTTGATGGAAATTTAGGGTTTTGACAAAATGCCATTTTTTCCCCTACAAAAGTGTCTTTTCATAGAAAAAAAACCCTTATATTTTGATCAGTGGTTGGAGTCACAGATCATGGGAGACAGATCATAGTGCAGACAGACCACCCAATCCACAGAGGAGAATGGGAGCCTAAAAAGTTATGCAGGACTACACTTCCCTTGAAGCAACAATGCCATTTTGAATGGAGATTGTCCGTCGAGAATTTGGAGGAGAACAAACAAATAAACCCTTGCAGCTTTCTGGAAAGCAAGGAAACGCTGGCAGCTCTAGAAACAGAACACGCCACAGGTTTCATGAACTAAGTCCTTTATTTGTTTTAATGGGCTGAAAGAGGATTAAACATGCTTCCCCAGGATGGTATGAGAGTCCATTCATGGTTTGCTAAGTAGCTGGAGCTCTTCATGTGACAGATCATAGGGAAGGACAGGCAAAACTGATACTGTTTTCTCAGAGAATGAATCAACCTCAGTAAGATAAAAGTAGTGTCCCTAGCTGTTCCCCAGAGTACAGTCCAGCTCAATGGGCACTGGTAGTAGAGTCACTCCTTCCAGCAGTGGTGAGAGCAGAGCTGGGTCCTCCATCTCCTTTCTCTTTCTCCTGTTAGTCCCAGCAGGGACTGGTTAGCACACTTCGATCAGGGGGCCTGTTTTGCTATAATGGTGGGTGTTGAACCAGGCAGAATCCAGCCTAATTATAGCGACGGTTGCTCTTCTCTTGGGCTGCCTATAAGTTCATCATGGGGGCACAGAAGGGAATTGGTGAGGTTTTATTCACCAAGGCACCCCCGGGGGTTACAAGAAAAATGGCCACAAGCTAGCAGAGAGCAGATTTAGACTGGACATTAGGAAGAACTTCTTCACAGTTCGAGTGGCCAGGGGCTGGAACGGGCTCCCAAGGGAGGAGGTGCTCTCCCCTACCCTGGGGGTCTTCAAGAGGAGGGTGGATATGCATCTAGCTGGGTTCTCCTAGACCCAGCTCTCTTTCCTGCTTATGCAGGGGGTCGGACTCGATGATCTATTGAGGTCCCTTCCGACCCTAACATCTATGAATCTATGAGACTGTCTGCAGACTCAGGCAGATGTCGCATCTGATGCACCTGAGATCTCATGCAAGCTCTTCTTCCCAACCACAAAGGCTCTGAGCCTTTTCCATACGATACAATCTATAATACGACTGCTCAAGTCAAATGGGAGCAGGATAAGAGCTAAGGTTTGGTTATGGCTATGTGGGCCCATTCACTAAGAGCTGGGAAGATTTCTGAGGTGTAGACACTTTCAAGAAAGCAACTTCTGATATTAATAATGCAATTATTAGTATATGTGTACATCCACACACACACACGTGTGTACCCATACATATATTTGTTTGTGTATGTGTGTGTACACACATCTACATACACACATTATGTGTGTGTGTGTGTGTGCGCGCGCGCGTGTGCGTGTGGTTATTAGTTAATAATAGTTAAGGTAAGAGATAATTCTGATTTCATACAGTCATAATCCATGGTACTGGTGTTACTGTGATCTCCTACTTTAGGACTTAGTTGATTCTAACAATTTTATTTTATTTTTAAATAAAATAAGTAAATTAAGGACTAAAATCTGCCAGTTTTACTAGGACACCAGTGAGGAGGTGCCTCAGTTTCCCTGTCTGTACATGGAAATAAGTATGGTTCCCACAAAGCTTCTTTGACATTTTCGAGGACAGTGTACTTCTCCAGTGGAAGGGAAGTGTTTTCTCTACACACACACACACACAGTTATACATGAACAGAAGTCCTTGATGCAATCTGAATCTCTATTCAGATCTGTTTATACCTCTCTGATCTAATCTAAAAACCATTATTTATTTGTTGTAGCCACTCAAAAATCCTGTGCTAGGTTTCATTTTCTCTTGTCCCTCTCAGACAGTTATAGTAATCTACTATTTTCTCACTAGTTTTAAGCTGCCAAGGAAAGCATTGCTACCTGTATTTTATATTCTTTTAATTATTTCCACCTCTGTGATTACGCTAATTAGCTAACTGGCTTCTGATGGCTGTACAGTAGGTTGGGTTACATTTTCATTAATCACAGTGTTAGCCTGTCTCGTTAGAGTCTGTGATTTTTTGCATTATGATTTGAAATAATTCAATACAAAAGTAATCTGGAAGGGGAAAAAAAAAATCAATAAGAATAGACATTGTATTAGTCAGCAGGTTGGCTGAGTGACTCTCTAATATATTTAGAAATGTTATGATGTACGAGAGCAAGCCACCTTTATTAGAGAAGCTAAATAAATGGGTAAGTCTGACGTCTCCAATCACAACTATTTAAGGTGCCTCCTTTGATCCAAGACAGGTGATTGACACATTAAAGTGGGATCAGAAAATAAAAGCATCTGACAACATGTTTCCTTTATTCCAATGAAGGCAACCGAGATCTGTACCTCATATGTCGTATCTTGCTCATATGAGAAATACAGGACACTCCTGCACTGGAGTCCTAAGCGGTGCATTTTTCAGCAGAGGGAGAATACTGTTCCTTAGAAGCCCACAGGGTTTCTGCTAAAAGACACAGTAAATTAATTTCTCATGAAATAATCCAAACTAAAATCAAGGAGTCGTTTGGCCTTGACTGTTGAACCAGAGACACTGGAGACTGCTCACCCCTATTATGACAGAGACGTTATCATAATGAGAGTCAGCATCTACATAGCACTTTGTAAGTTCAAAATCCAGTATGAGCATTGACTAATTAATCCTTACAATGCCCCAGGGAATGAGCAGATAAGTAGTATTAAATAGGAAAACAGAGGCAGAGAGATAGGGTCATTTGCCCTGCAAACCACAGAGATGGAGGCAAGGGCAGCACTCGAACTCATAGCCCTAGACTGAGCTACCTCTTGCCGTCTGCACTTTGAAGCCAATACCAATGCTTTAACTTCACACCTACGTGTGGTGGGTGGGAATCCTGGGCTCCATGGAAAACAAGGGGAGCAAAAGTCCACCTCTTCTCTTTGCCACGGGCTCAACCTGTAACCTTTTCCAAGTCGCTTGCCCTCCCTGCAGCTGTTTCCAAGGGCCACCTTCATTGAAATCCTCGGAGCAAAGATGCTAGAAAAGGGCACGGCCCGGACGGCGTGAAACCGGACGCAGGGAGAGCGAAGTGCACACACTTAGGCACCAAGTAGGGAAGAAACAGAACTGTGGATTTGTATAAATCAGGCCTATTTTAGTTTCCAAAGGCTGAAAATTGATTAAGTGCTGTACCGAAGAGATACTATAGATCTGTTAGACTTCAGATTCTCCCTCCCCACCCTCCCGAGGCCAGTCCTGCAAGTCAGCAGTTTCACTGAAAAGCAATCTTCTTACGTTTAGCATCATTGCAGCCTATTAAAATAATGATACTCACTGTGGCAAGCGTCTGTTGTAGCTGCGCGGCCACTGCTGGGCAGCGTAGTGGCTCAGGCACAAGCCTCTGGGGCCGGTTTCATGTCACACGAGTGACATGGAAAAGGATCATGTAACCTCCAGTGTTTATGCACCTGCGTGCATTAAGACACAGGTGGGGCAGACTCTCCGAGTCCCAATTGCCCTGAACTTCAGGCAAATCTGGACCAGGATCCAACCTGGAAAACTGGATCCAGAAAGAGAGAAAAATCAGTGACTCGGCACATGTTTCAAATACAGGGACAGCGCAGGGAAAAAAATGCACATTTCTGAATCCCTGGCAAATGCTAAAGCTGTGTTAGCCTTTGTCAACCACGCGGAGTTCAGGAGAGCTGGCTGCTGATTTTCATATCTAGCGCAGTGCATTTTCCCGACAGGATCCACAGCGAGCAAGTCTAGCTTTGACTGACTGCTCCAAACAGTTTTTTCCCTTGACGGGATGGCAACTGTATTCTCCTGCTCCAATAAAGGCTGACTGATTTTCACTCAAAAGGGAGCATATTGTTCTCTACATGTCACTCTGTGATCTTTCTGGGATTTCTTTGTGGTTGTTCTACAAAAAAAGAAAGAAAGAAAGAAAGAAGTCACATTGGACCTTTTCATGGTGGAACATGGACAAAGAATTGCATGCATCTTGAGAAAGGGGGATAGAGTGGAGAGACTGGAAAAAGTGACTAACCTTTTATAAGCAACATGCATAAGACAGGTCTTTCCTTTTCTCTTAGCAGGTTGCATTTCTTTATGCCACTCGTTACCTGAATTATACTTCTTTGTTATCTGACTTGATGGTGATTAGCATACCCTAGAGGAAATATATCTTTCCACTTAGTCGGTGGGTAAGATGAAGATTTGTCATCAAGAAGAACTGATGCTATCAGGGGGGGAAAATGCGTCCACCCACACATTATATAGTGATATATCTATCTATATAAACGATATAAGGTGACTCTGTATAGAACTTTAGGTGGGAACCTCAGCTCGTATAAATCAGAATAACCCCAGTGATGCAAATTCAATGCAACTCTTATGGATTTGCACCAGCTGAGAACCTCTCTTTACTATTTTAAATCAGAACATTTTAAAACCTACAAAAAAAAAAAAGAGTGGGGGTTTTTTTGGTTAGGGAAATTACAGAGCCTTCAGTCTCATCTCCTTGCCTGAGCTGCATCCCCAACCAGGTTAGTCTACCAGAACCAAGAACACCCACAAGGCATAATGCTTCAGGTAGAGGTAAAACCATCATCATCATCATCATCATCATCATGATAGGACTTCCTAATCAGAGACTTGGGCCCACAGATGACAAGGGGGCTTGAGACATTCAAATGACAGCCACCACATTTCTTAGTTTCTTCTGTTTTCAGTTTATATTTTTTACCTAATTCTTTGGCTTATGCAACATGGCCTTGCTTTGAGTTTGTCTGCTTGGAGACACCGAGCTGGACTTTGGGAGAGCCTAGGACAGGGACACCCCTTAAGGAATTAACCAATTTGATGCAAAACTTTAGTAAAAGTACAATTTAGTGGACCAAGTAACATTCACAGCTTTTCACTGTAAGGGACAGAGACTAATGTTGCATTTAGTTTTTGGCCTAGATGGTGCAAAGGCATTTTCAAGACCCGCTACAGCCAGCATGGAAAGATCGTTCTGATAGTCGAAGCCACATGCCTGTCACAGCTGGCCCAGACCTGTCAAAGGGTAAAATCCATGCTTTTAATTTGCCCAAGTCGGTGATCTTTGAACGACTTCCTTAGCACGGCAGGGTTTAGCTTTGCAAGAGGAAGGAGTGGGAAGTCATTTCCTGAGACAGACTAAGGGGTGGAGCAAACCAACATGAGACAAAAATCACTGAAAGAAAAACCATACGCAGAATGATGCCGGTGTTTGGGGGAAACTTCGGTGTGTTTTAGATATTGTACACCCAAAACGACTGCACAACAAGGCATGTTGCAGTGTGCTTTCAGAAGACACCTACATAAAATCCATTGTGCCAGCAAGGAAAGTGTGAGAGGAGACACCTGCGTGCCTCAAGACGTTGTGAAGTGGAGTGAATTTGAGCCTCGCAAACTAATCACAGCTACGTGCGGCTATGCCATCAAATGCAAAGGTAGACATGAAACCGTTCGAAAACACGGCCCTTTGCATTTGCACAGCTGGCTGCGCAGGCAGCAAGAGGAAACCCTTTCACCAGGCGGTCGAATGGGATCGTTTAAAATTTGTGAGGAGAGAATCGTGACAGCTGGGATTTGAGAGGTTTACGGGTTGCGGCTAAGCCGAACATTGCTGGGGAGCTTGTACGCTGAGCAGCACCGCACAGCAAATATTGTAGTACAGCACAGATGTGATTGTACTGCACTTTGCATATTCCCTCTGTGCACTGGGCTGGGATTTTTCATTTCATACATAATTCATAGCTTGCTGCAGTGATTCCAGAGTCAATACAGAACCTTAACACCAAAAAAAAGAAAGAAAGTAAAAACATATAAAGACAGATATACTCCTGTTGCCCAATACCCTGAGCATGGGATCGACATCCTGAAGCCTCCAACATTTCACCGATTCCAGTAATAGCAAAGATGCAAATACGTAAAGGAAAAGATGGGGGTGGGGAAGAGGCAAATTTGTGTTTGGGGACGTTTTATGCATGAGAAGGGGGTGCGAATAGAAGATTCAGAAAGGATGCTACAGCATTTCTAATCAAAGGCACTGCCAGCATCATTTCGAATATGAGTTATAGACCTAATCGTGCCCCCTGTGATCAGCAGGATCAGTAGGATCCCAGGACTGAGCCCTGCATAAATAAAGTAGGCACGGATTTAATTATTGCATTGCCGTTCCAACACAACCTGCATCCGACCCAAACTTGTGCGTCTTTTCCAGACGTGAAAAAGTAGCATGTCGTCACTGATGTGTACTTTTATAAATGGATGGGACCAGGAGGAATACTGGGGACTGGCTTATTCCGATTTGTTACGTGCAGAAGCAAACAGAGGTTTTAAAATGCACATCCATGTCTCATTCATATATTCCACTGAAATTCAATTGATGTTGGCTTTAAGCGGGTCCCCTGCAATAAGAAGCCAATCATCCCAGTGACAGCAAATAAAATTTGGGAACTAGATCTGTACACAGAGTCCTAGATGCTTGCTCTCTAAACCGAGGTGAGATGTGGAGCCTCAAGAGCAAGATCCCCGCTACCGTAGCACCTAGTGTTCTGCCTCGCTGCTCTCATTCCCCCTCTCATTATGTGGTGCATTGCTTTGCCTGGCGCAGAAAAGCCAGGGCTCATGAAGCAATACCTCATCCAACTCCCATTACTCACTTTCATCTAATTCTTGCAGGTGCTAAAATAAAGCTGTAATTAATTCCAGTGCAAGACAGGTTCGATGCTGCAGGTTTCCCACAATTTTTTGGTGCAGACTTCAATTCATCTTTGACTTTATCTTCTTTTTCTGCAGCACTTCACTTAACAAGGTCGCTTTTTGCTATCACCCCCTGTCACAAACCACCAAGACTCACACACGCGGGACCCAGCTCTAATAAGAGGATGCCAGTGTAAAGCAGCAGGTACAGCAGCTGTTTGCTGAGACATGGGGCCGTAGATCAGACTCAGGCTATTCAATCACTAATCAGTCAGTCACTGATGATGACCCACTAATGATGGTGGGTTTAAGGAAAATGGGCAACGTCCACTATGAGCAGCACCTAGTCCTGGGATGGTTGTTTAGCCCTCTGCTTCCTGAGCTAAAGGGCTCTGCTAGCTGGGGCTGTACAAAGCAGGCTCAGCATCCTCTATCCACGGTTCAGTCACTGTACAGGGGGACAGAGAGCTGCATGTGCAGCATGACCTGCAAGTATCTAAAGCTGGGCATTACTTTAAAAACCAGGTAACAACCCACATGTGGCTTATTTAGGAAAATGATGGCATGTTGTAGACGTACAATTACGGTAATTAAACAAGCTCCCTTACGCAAGCATTTGCACGCAATAGGGCCCTCTCCCCCCAGTTTGTCCGTGGAGTTCACAGTGCTCCACTTGCCGTGCTCCTCTCCTGAAACAACCTGAAGCGTGATCCATTACCATACAGATTTCTCTCACTCAATTCTGCCTGCCCCTCCCAACGCACACGAGCCTAGGAAAACCCAGCGTGTCAGAAACTAAGGAGTTTTGTGAGATTAAAATGTAAATGTCATATTCCACTTTTCAAGATGTGTTTGAGACTTTACTTTTGATGGTGGGAGGAAATAGAATTTTTATAACCCTGAGAAGCTGCCGCCACCCAGGCACTTCCGCAAATCGCTAAAACCCTAATAAATAAATCCTCTGTCAGCTAGGGCTGCAAACCAACTCGTTCTTGGTTCTCAAGAATATTGTGAATCTCAAAGCAGCCTGGTGCAAAGGGACTTCTATAATTGCAGATGCATCTGCCGTTCTCGCTTAGTTTCCTGGGCTTTGAAAGGGAAGGAGAGAACTTACAATGTCGTGTTCAGCAG